GTTGAAGTTTTAACGGCCCCCCAACCGGCTGCAATAGAACGCAAGTAGAAGAATCATACGACCATCTCCTGTCACATCCTCGGCTCCAAGTTTCTTTCATCCGACCCTGCAGCCTTCCGCCTTTTCTCCAAAACACCCCAGGACCGCCACCAAGCGGCTGTAGAAGTTCGCTGAGATCCAAGTTGCGCAAGGTGCCCCGTTGGCGTTTATCCAGCTTCCACTGACGGCCTCAGGCGTGGGATTCACTGGCGGCTGTGTGTTGAGCCAAACACCTTGGCGGGTGAGACATGGTAGACATGAGGAGAAAATCTCTCCAAGACACCGACCTGGACACATCACCATGTGTGGGGAGATGCACCGAAAGCTGGCCAGAGGCTCACATCCACACAAGGTCTTCCAGGCCAAGGTCTTCGTGATCGGCGCCCAATCCGTTCAGGTCTACCGTGAGGGGGCCCCTGAACTGGGCTTATTTGGGCACCCTTTCACGCTCAGGATTGATTAGCCTGCAACCTTGAACCATCAAAAATGGTGCACTCAGAAAGTTCGGTGCCCTGCATGTCCTTTTGAGAAAAAAACAAGATAGAACCCATGAACCTGAATGCGCACACGCACTCGAAAAGAAAAACGGCAAAACATTGTTAAACGCTCTTGTGGGACACTCTTGTAATTCCAGGACACTCTTGTAAGAGACAGTCTTGTGAGACAGCTGCCGGCGGAAAGAACAAAAGATCATCTGGTCTGCCTAGGTGGCAAATTTTAGTGCAGATGGGACCGGGAACCCAGTCCAAGAACCAGTTGAGGCTGGTATGAAGCCGCTGTGGGCGCACCTTGATTTACAACCTAACAAGCCCTTTTAACAAAGAAACAAGTGAGAGGAGCAAAGGAAAGAAAAAAGGACGGCAAATTATAAGATCAATCTGGTCCGCCACCATGGCAAATGATAAACAATAGAGAAAGTTATTGAAGCAACTTCTCGCGTGTGAAACGTATTCCGATGTTGTTTAGGATACTGAGGCGCATGCTGATCTGCACCCCAGGACAAAGAAGTAACACCAGAGTTAAGAAAAAATAACTCTGGTATTCACTCCATTTCATGTTGTTTACAATAAGCTCCGCAGCGCAATTCAGGATGCAGGGTGATTGGTGAAGCTATCGCGAGTGTAAGATGAAGAGCAACAAGTTCAGTTGAAGCGCGTGTTTCAGAGTGGGATCATATATTGGATTGAACTCTCCTGTTTAGGAGACATTCTGCAGAAAACGGCGCCCTGAATAGGGATCACACGGCATACCGCAGTGGGAAGATGCTGCGAAACACACTTGAGAGAGATGCTCATGTGAGCCACATTCAGAGTGGTTCTCGGGGGGCGGTAGCACATTGGTTACTACATTACCAGATTAGTTCGCTCAAAGACCGGAAACCTTCGAAATGGCCCTGTGAAGAACGGAAAGGCGAAAAGTCCATGAAGATCCATGAAGCAATATTGTTTAAATCAGCAGTCAGCAGTGATTGAAAAAGAGCAGGTACGTCACGTTGTTCAGCCGTGATATCCTAGTGTATACTGCGTGGAGCTTCGTTCGCGACAGCCATGCAGCGACTCTGCCCCCTGCTGATGCATTGAAGTATTTGGAATAAATAGTAGAGTAGGGTGCCTGGGTGGTGACACACACACCAAAAGAAAGTATGCTGAAATGCACATATTCTGTTTGTAGCTAATTTGAATGTTTTGGGTGGCATCTTCCCGCTTCTGTTTTGGTGTGGTGCGCCATCTCTGCGCATCAGCTTCTGTCTGGCTTTGGTGTAGCTTTCGCGTCTTTAGCACCAAGCTTCAGCTGATCGGATCGTGTCCGTGTTTGACTAGATATGAACCATTAGGTCGGAGCCATGCCGGAAGTGCACGATCATTCGGAACAGAACAGGGAGACTGTCAGTGAGACTGTCAGTGAGATACCTGTCATTCCTGGCCAAATCCACAGAGAATGACAGGAGAGCGGGCAGCTTCGAGCCAGGGCCACGCTTTCACTTCGACCTTCGGCCGACTCTTCCGTCCTTCGCCGACTCTTCCACGGCGTCTGAAGCTGCAGTCAGCACTGCAGTCAGTTCGTTGGGTCCTTTTGGGGCTATTGCTTGTACTGTGGCTTGAAACCAAAACTGGCTTGCGACCAATCAAGAGCTCAAGGGCCAATTTCGACCAGTTCTGAATTCAGCCACTAGCCGTTGCAAAACACGCATGAATCCATGGGATACGGGATATCCCTTAAAAAATGAGAGCAGAGTGCTAGCCTGGGAAGCTCAAGCTCTCTGAGTTGTCAGCTGCCAAGGGTTGGATGGGGGCCAGGCTCGCAGGATTGGATATTTGGATCATATTTTGAGAGTACATGGAAAATTGGGACAGAAGTGCACAGACCTTGTTCACTACACAGAAGTTCCCTCCAAAATCAAGTGCACAAACATGTCTGTCCAATCCAATGTGAAGCCACGCGCCCTGTGCATTGTTGTTTGGGTTGCCCGGCCGCAAGTGCAAAACTCGTGGTGCGGGCATCCGCAAGGCGCCCGTAAAGGACCTGCGGAGAAGCCCAGAAGACGACTCAAGCCTCGGTGATCGAGTCAAAGGTCAATCCGAGGTCAAACTAAAAGTGAAAGCCTGCAGTGAATCCAAACACAGTGTCCACTCACCTACCAGGACCTACCACGAAAACAACCCGACCCTCAGACCAGCCGAGCTTTCCAGATGTGTCCATACATGCCATGCACAAATAAAAGACCAACGAGAAAGAGACGACAAAGCACAGAAAAAAACATCGTGGACCCTTTGAAGCTGTTCGAACTCAGTATGTGGCGTTCCACATCCTGCTCTTTCCTCGCGTCCTTCTCTTTGATCTCAACAGCTGCCTCGAAGCAGCCTGAAACCGCCCCCCACCTGTGGAATTGCTCTTTTTGTGTGGCATGAACAAGTGATCAACTGGAATTGCCTGGAAAATATCAAGAAAACGGAATGCGCCAGGCACACCCACGTAGCTCACAATAACACCTCCCACTGTGTGGGAGGATGACTGATGACAACTGTTGTTTTGTTAGAAAAATCAGGGGCTCATCGATTTCGCCTCTTCTGCTAGACACCGGCATGAACAAAACTTCCAGCGCCGAACCGCAAACACAGCTATAGGCTATGGCATGCGATCACCTGCCTGGGTTCCGTCCTGTTTCATATCGTATCTGTCTCACACGGCCATAGCTCCAAGAAAAGTCTAGCAACTGTGGCTTCTTGACTTGAGACAAAGTTTCCACCTTCCACACATGTGTGCCATCTGCTGTATCTGTCTCGCATGAAAACCATTGACCCTGCTAACAATGGCTGGGCATGAAAACCATTAAAAAACTCGGGACGGGGCATCCGAGACGTCCTCCCGGACTCATCGGTTGTGACCATCGGTCTTTCAACCATCGGTGTTCGTTCACGTCCCGCCTGGCAGTTCTGGAGTGGAGTGATGGCGTCGCAGGAGAGGGACGGCGTCCATGGCACTCTCTCCGACTTCCAAGAAGGTGTGCCTTCGCTCGTCGCCGTCACAGACCGTCGTGTCCGAAGCACGGGCGATCCGAAGCACCACCGTGGAGCGGACATGTTCGGCGGTGAAGCAACGCAAAAGTTCAGTTCTCAAGACATGTGACACCAGGGAAGAGCAAGCGAAGAAGCAAAGACTGTTCGAATTCCAAGAGTGTATCCGTATTGCAGGGTTGAGTCGAAACTGCGAGTAAGGGCTGAAGAGCTGCCGCTTACTAGCGTTTGCGCCGTGGTGGCTGGGGTTTGGTCCCTGCCCAGTCTTTTCCCACAAAACCTGATCTCACCCTTGTGATTGCCGGGGCAGTGATGTTACGTGTTTGCGCAGGATTTCTTTAACAGACCAATGGCATGCAGGCTGCCCCCTCACACCCAGGGGCAGTGAATGAATCACTGCTTACCATGCAGTAGCTTGGCCTAACCAGTCTTGAAAACAAGAACACTGTTTCCTGCAAAAATAGTTTCAATCTGGGTTCGGCCACTGTTTTCTTCCATTTAACATGGTGTTGCTTTTGGTTACCTTTATGCAACTGATTGCACAACTTAGTGTGCAAAATTGAAATATGTTGAAGCCAATGCATCCAAGTTGCTTGTACTCAAGCGCCATGCTGATCGCACGAGCTGTTCCTTTAGACTCTAGATCCTTGCTTGGAAATACTTTCTGAACCCAGCTGCAGCGAGGACACCGCATGTCAATTCAACTGGTTTCGTGAATCGTAGGGTCTTAGGGCTTTGCAATCTCCCAAAGGATCATGGTGAGCTTCGAAACGCATCAACCGTTGATATCGTCACCCCAAACTATATTTCTCGGGCTAGATTTGGTGGTTATTCAGCTTATGAGTTCGGCTGAGACCTGAAGAGGATTTAGCTGGCATGACTCCGAAGTACGCACGTGCTTCAATAGGAAGGTCCTTTACTTTGGTGCCCGCCAAAATTCATCGAACTAGACTTTTCTGTGGGTTCACAAAGGTCAGGGTCATGCAGTCGAATAGGGGTAGGCTCTGCGTAGAGAAGGCTCAGGGCTATGCGCAGCCAAAAACGCTCATTGGTGTGACTTCGATTCGCACAACTTGATTCCAGTTTCAGTGTGTCTGAGTGTTTTTGGTGAAGCACAATGAACCAAATATTAACAAAATCATATCGCTTCACAAGGGATCAGGCTTCCAAGCTGACGGAAGCTTAAACAAATTTGGTCATATAGGACGCCTAGACAGAGCCTGCACTATTCGCACGGTTGGAGGCCATTGCTATTATTAGGTTGGAGGCCATCGCTAGTAAGTTGAAGGACATCCCTTTTAGGTTGGAGGCGATCGCTCTTAGGTTGGAGGCCATCGCTATGTTAGGTTGGTGGCCGTCGCTCTTAGGTTGGAGGCCATCCCTCTTAGGTTGGAGGCCATCGATCGCTCTTAGGTTGGAGGCCGCTCTCTGGCTCGGTCCTCGCTCCTTCAGCCATTGTCCGCTTTTCTGGGCTCGCTCCTCACCAAGCGTCTCGCTCGAAGCGGCAGAAGGAGCCCACGTGCTCGTACCAGCGCGCTGTGGCGGACCTCGTCCGATCCGTGGACGAGCTCTGCAGGGCGTCGAAGTGCTCCCGGTCTCGGTGCGTCGGAAGAAACCTGCGGCGACGGGGGTCGGACGCTCCGTGCGGACAGGGCGGTCCGAACGCGAACGGCGAACGGTTCGCGATGCCCCTTTTGTTCCGAACGTAGCGTCCTCTTGTTATACTGGTAGTTATAGGTAGTTTTAGGTATATAGGTGATTTCCTCTAGGTGAATCTACAGTATGGGAACTGGAAGGAATTCAATTAGTTCAAAGGAATGTTGATAAACGACAAGCTACTCATTGCATGATTGTTTCACCTGGCTTGGCTGACTTATCCATGATGTTTGGCTCAAAGCATGCCAAGCATAAGGATATAGGTCTATAGAATATGTATCCATGGATTGATGATATCACTGCTCCCTTAAGTCAGCCATATCTAGATAGCAACCACCACGTGATCGTCTCTATATAAGCCTTGGATGCCAGTGCAAAACCTCTACTACTGGCTTCATAGCCAGTCTTCCTGCTCTTGATTGTCGTGGTTTTCACTGTGTTCATGACGTTCCAGCTGCATGTTGATGGTGTTTGGAGCTCCCAGCCGGTGCGATTCTGATGGTGTTGACCACGGATTTCGCTCGAGGCTTCTCCACTGCGACACGTCTTTGACTGATCATGATGTTATTCCTTTTGGTCCATCCCATTCCCACATCTATATTTGTCCAAGAAACCCTCCCAAGTATGGTTGATGCCTTAAGATCTCCTCCACCTCATCCGCCGAACCGCCACTCCTTTCACCTCCTTCGCTCTTTCCCGCGGCGTCGTTGGAACCGCCGCCGCTGCCGCTGCCGCCGCCCGCGCTGCGCTGCACGCCGCGGTGCGTGGAAGTCGAAGGCGCTGCGGTGGAAGGAGTCGATGGGGTCGGGCTGGACAGCAACTCCACCGTCACGGGGCCATCATTCACAAGCTCCACCTGGAGGCCATCTCTCGCAGGTTAGAGGCCAACGCTCTGAGGTTGGAGGCCATTGCTACTAGTAACAAGAAGCTACTAGGGTGGAGGCCATCGCTAGTAGGTTGGAGGCCATTGCTCTTAGGAACCTCAACAGACCGCTGGATGAATTCCTTAAAGAGGTCATCCGGGTCTTGGGTTGGAGTGCGCATGTAGGTTGGAGGCCATCGCTAGTAGGGTGGAGGCCATTGCTACTAGTAACAAGAAGCTACTAGGGTGGAGGCCATCGCTAGTAGGTTGGAGGCCATTGCTCTTAGGAACCTCAACAGACCGCTGGATGAATTCCTTAAAGAGGTCATCCGGGTCTTGGGTTGGAGTGCTCATGTAGGTTGGAGGCCATCGCTAGCAGGATGGAGGCCATTGCTACTAGTAACAAGAAGCTACTAGGGTGGAGGCCATCGCTAGTAGGTTGGAGGCCATTCTCTTAGGAACCTCAACAGACCGCTGGATGAATTCCTTAAAAAGCTCATCCGGGTCTTGGGTTGGGGTTTAAGGTGGAACGCACGCATTCGGGTGGAACGGAAGAGAGGGCAAAGGAGTTCGAGCGCAAAGGAGTTCGGACCTTGTGTGAGGCCTTTTTTGTGAGATGGCGTGAGTGGCTACTCTTGCTGTGTGAGTGGGTACTCCTTGGGTTGGGAATTGCATGGAATTGCTACCTCCTCAAAAGCTGGGATATCTGATAGTGAGTGTGCGATTCTGAGACCAGTACCTTCTGTCCACCGGTCCTTGGTGTATGCAAAAGGTCCCATTGAAGTCCATCGCTCGTAGGGTGGAGGCCGCTAGTAGGAACCTCACCAGGCAGGGCTGAGCCCACTTCTGACCACTCCATCACTCACCGCCTGCATCAGCGCGCCAAAGATGCCGGTGGCCAAAGTGATGTTGGGTGCCTCCTGGAAGAAGTCGACAGGATTTCTCTCGGCATTGCGATGTATTGGAAAAACGATTTTTTTTTTTTTTTTAAGGGGGGGTAGGCGGCCGCTAAGAGGTAGCTAAGTGGTAGCTAGAGGTAGGTAGCTAGTAGAAGAGGTAGCTACTTGCAAGTAGCTACCACTTAGGACGCAGGATAGTTCATGCTTCTTCAAGGAAGCTCTCCCCACAGCCCTAAACGCGGCCGCCGGAAGATTCCTTGAAGAAGCGCTCACACGAATGATTTGGTTCCGAGATATGTGCGGAAACTTAACTGATAGGTACCAAGAAGCTACTAAGCTAATTACTAGGGTGGAGGCCATTACTACTATAGTAGCAAAAAGCTACTAGCAACAGTAACATTGGCATTTGTGTTTTTTTGGGCCGGAAGGCTGGAAGGCTTCAGGTGAGCTTTGAGGATCAAAGGATCTGACTGGAGCGTGGTTTGATCAGCATGCCACAAGCACGTATCAGTCTTGAGACTGTTTGACATGTCAAACTTCTCCTTGATCCCTGAAACCGCACTGACTTCATTTCCTCCTGATCCAAAAGACATATCATTTTTTCACTCCGGTGGAAACTGACTCCCTGCTCCCTGGTAGCGCTGTTATGGGCAGGCCGAAAACGGACAACATCCCGTCTTGCCACAAATCAGGCTACTGTCTTCAGCCAGTTCTGAATCCCCAGAAATGGTGGGCACCTAGAATCTCACCAGGGGCTCCTGGCCTTGCTACTAGGAGCAAGGACGCAATCCATGCGACTCGCGACACGAAACCTCCGATTCCACCCTGGGAAGCCGCTTCATACCGCTTCCTTGCGGCACTTCTGCAAGAAAGCCTCATAGAGCTCGCTGGCCTCCGGACCCCCCATCGCCTGGTGGAAGTCCGGCTTGGGCTTCCTGGTCGTGGATCGGCGTCGGCGGCGATGGTTTTCGACGTCGCTTCTAGCTACGAAGAAAGCGAGGCACTTGTTACTGGTAGCTTCTATATAGCTACTAGTAGTGGCCTCCAACCTACTAGCCATGGCCTCCAACCTATTAGCGATGGCCTCCAAGCTTTATTAGCTTCTAGCTAGTAGTTGAGGTTTGTTTCGATGTTTTACTCTAAGACTGACTTCAGATGGGTGATTTTGTGGCATGGGTTGGATTTTGTGGCACTATACAAGAAGTTCTAGCGCACACGTGTGCGCATGACGGTCTTTTGGATAACCTGTGCCCACAAGGTGCTGCAAGTTTCTCTGCTTAAACGGTCAAAGCCAACAACACCTGATTCTTCTACCATGTGGGAACCTCTGCTGGATGAAACAAAAAATTGTCTTCTCCATTCTTCAGCTCTTTATCGATGAAGCAGCCACGATGAAACATGAAGACTACAATGAGCATCCGTGTGGCGGCGTGCGGGCAGAGATTTGGCAGCGATTCGACCGTTTGGATCATTGATCCTCTTCCAACAAACCACAAATCCCAGACCATGTGTTTGGCACTGGAAGACTGTATTGACCCAGAAAACATCTTGAAATCAACCTGCCAAAACGCCTCCTGTCTGGCTCCGTTCATAGCGAAAAGCCAGTCACCCGCCCCTGTTCGCTGTCTAGCTCCTCGGACGCTTCTCGGATCGGGGGGGCCGATGCATCGGTCATTGGAGCCGCACAACCCGACGCCTACGCCCGACATCCCGTGGCCATCAGCCGGTTCCACCGGAGTCCGAACAGGTCGCCCTCTCACCGTGGAGGCTTCCCCCAACGAAACGGCTGTGTTGTCACAGTGCCCAGTGCCCGGATGTGCCCGGCAACGGCTGTCAAGCATCTTGAAGGTGGCAAAGAGAGTGAACTGGCTGACAACCATGAGATCCTCAGGACCAAGTCATAGGCCAGTGGTGGCCAGCGGCCGCACGACTTTCTTCTTCCTGCACGTTTAGACGATGTTACATCTGCTACATAACTTGCCCAACTATGGCCGCACGTCTTGCGTCTGTTCGAATGGCCAAAGTAGACTTGCACTTGATGGTCTCTTTGAGGTGTGTTGAATCAACCATGTGCCGTAACGCAACGGGGCGGCCAACACAACGGGGGTCCCATCCCGAGCGGTGAATGCGAGCCTTTGGCTGTCCAGGAACCTGATTCCACAAGGGGGATTTATCCATAGGGATACTGTAACAACAATTAACAATTAATAAAAGCAAAACCCGTCATAGTATACACTTCAACTGTGCCCCTTGTGGAACATCCAACCAAGAGCTGCACGCCATGCACATCGGCGTGTAAACTCGGCTGGTGCATGTCTTTTTCCGATGAAAACGACGTGCAGCCGTCCCGCCCAAACGTTCCAAAGGGCGCCCTTTCGGTCCCTCGGGATTGGTTCGACCCCAGAGCAAAACAGAAGCACCAGCCGACGGGGCCGAGGGTCGAATCCATTGTCCACCACTGAGGAGGCCCATTGCTTAGTAGCATCCTTTCGGTCCGGCCACAGGCGCATCTTCAGCAGCTTTGGTGCCAAGTAATTCACCTGCTCCATCCCATCCTCAATGCGCGACGGAAAGCGATTTCTGGGCGAGAAATCGGTGGAGATTTCGGCGTCCGCTGGGTTTGGTTCCAACGAAAGAACTGTCTTTTTTTGAGTGTTTGTTGGTCCCAACTCCACGCCAAATGGCTCGAACGAAAGGAGACGCGGCGCCGCGACCTTTTCCTGTGCTACCGCTGGGTTTGTTTCCAACGTGTCTGTCCTGGCCTTCCGGCCTTTTGCTCCATGTTCGGCATCAGGTGCTCGGTTCAGTGTCCCTTCACTCTCTGTTCTTCTCAGCTTCACGTTCAAGGTCCGACCGCTCCGACCGGTGATCTATTGAAAAGAAACAAGAAAGACACAAAAACCGAAACACTGAGAACATCAGGACGCCATTCATTCAGTTGACTCTCTTCTTTAAGAAATGCGTCCGACATGAGAATCTATGAGTTCCCTTTGCTGGGTTTCGAACGCCAAACGAACGTGAACACAGGCCAGGTATCACAGCTGAAGGCAAACAGCCAGAACATGTCAACACTTCAGGAAAACATGAACATGTCCAAAAAAAGGTGTTGAAAAACACAAACAAACAAACAAACAAACAAACAAACAAACAACCAACCAACCAACCAAACAAACAAACAAACAAACAAACAACTCGTTAAAAAAAAAAGAAAAACAACTCTGAATGTTCTCCCACCGAACCTCTCATGACATCGTCTCACCCCTCGCTGTTGGCTCGGCTCGCCGTGTGGCCGAGCGGCTCCGTGCTCAATGCCTAGCAGGACCATCAGGCCACGTCCGATTTGACCTGGTCTCGTTGTCTGAGACGAAGGACTGAAGACTTCGGTGTTGTGAGACGAAGGACGAAGGGTTTCGCGGGGTTCAGCACCTTTAGACTCACACACCAATGAAACAGGACATTCACGGAGCTGTTGCTCGCTGCTGGCGTCCTTTCCCCTCCGGTCCTGATCGGCTCGCCAGCTGACCCGAAGCGTCCGCAGCGATGGGAAGAAGAGAGGGGTCAGTGCCAGGTCAACTATATTTCTAAGAGAGATGACCTCCACCCTAGTAGCGATGGCCTCCAACCTACTAGTGATGGCCTCCAACTTAGAAGCAAACTATATATTAATATATACATGATCTTCTGATCTACCATCCTTTTGTTGAGAAGCGGAATAGCATGTGTTTGACTCGTGGTCAACCACAAGTCCGGGCTGCTTAGGTCATGACACCGGGCTGCTTTTTTTGTCCGACCACCAAAGGTCGACGGCTCCAGGTCTGCCCTGCGATCCGACCCATTCCCAAACGACCTGCGATCGAACCTGTAACCTGGGAGTCAAAGACTATAAGAAGAATGGGGAACCTGTAACCTGAAGAGCTGGGGTTGGAAGAAGAACAGGTGATTTGGTTTTGACCCTGGGAGTCAAAGACGAATAAGAAGAATGGTCTGACTAGGTGACCCGAGTGACCCGGAGTTTCCTGAAACCTTCAGTCGGTCAAAATTTCGTCGAACTGGACTTCGAGGGCTTGTATAGACCTCAAGAACATGTGACAGGAAACCGTGCCACTATCTATTTGGGATCTTTTGGGGATCACTATTTACAAAATACTGTGCAACATGGTCTGCGTTTCACTTGAAAAAACAAGATGGAGCCCACGAACCCGAATGCAAACACATACGTCAAACCACTGTGTATAAAAAGAGACACAGCCGGTCAGAATCTCTTTTTCACTCTCCGGCACGCTGTTGGACATCATGCGCTGGGGACTCCACCACCAAGGCAGCATGCGCTGGGGACTTCACCACCAAGCTTCGTCTTCATCATGAAGGGTCTTTGTTTTGCATTCAAATCAAGCGCTGGCGTAAAGGTTCTGGCAGATCCGCGGCACGAAAGAAACAATGGCATTGTCCCAAAATCTCGAAAATAAGCACTTGAAAATGATAACCGTGCACATAATACAGAGAAATCCACAACTGCGGCGTCTGATCTTCTTGTAAATAGGAGTGCAAGACCGTGCGTTGTTGGGACACTCTTGTGGGACACTCATACGGGACACTCTTGTGAGACACACTTGTGGGACACTCTTGTAGGACACTCTTGTGGGACACTCTTGTGGGACACTCTTGTGGGACACTCTTGTAGGAAACTCTTGTGGGATACTCTTGTGGGACACTCTTGTGGGACACTCTTGTAGGACACTCTTGTGGGACACTCTTGTAGGGCACTCTTGTGGGACACTGCTGTGGGACACTCTTGTAGGAAACTCTTGTGGGACACTCTTGTAGGACACTCTTGTGGGACACTCTTATAGGACACTCTCGTGGGACACTCTTGTGGGACACTCTTAAGGGACATTCTTGTGAGACACTCTTGTGGGACACGGTTGCGGGACACTCTTGTGGGACACTCTTGTGGGACACTCTTACGGGACACTCTTGTAGGAAACTCTTCTTGTAGGACACTCTTGTGGGACACTCTTACGGGACACTCTTGTAGGACACTCTTGTGGGTCACTCTTATGGGACACTCTTGTCGGACACTCTTGTGCGACACACTCGTGAGACACTCTTGTGGGACACTCTTGTGGGACAGCTCATACGGGACACTCTTGTGGGACACTCTTGTAGGACGCTCTTGTCGGGCACTCTTGTGGGACACTCATACGGGACACTCTTGTGAGACACTCTTGTGGGACACTCTTGTAGGACACTCTTGTGGGACACTCTTGTACGACACTCTTGTGGGACACTCTTGTAGGAAACTCTTGTGGGATACTCTTGTAGGACACTCTTGTGGGACACTCTAGTAAGACACTCTTGTGGGACACTCTTGTAGGGCACTCTTGTGGGACACTCTTGTGGGACACTCTTGTAGGAAACCCTTGTGGGACACTGTTGTAGGACACTCTTGTGGGACACTCTTATAGGACACTCTTGTGGGACAGACTCTTAAGGGACCTAAGGGGCACTCTTGTGAGACACTCTTGTGGGACACGGTTGCGGGACACTCTTGTGGGACACTCTTGTGGGACACTCTTACGGGACACTCTTGTAGGACACTCTTGTGGGACACTCTTGTAGGGCACTCTTGTGGGACACTCCTGTGGGACACTCTTGTAGGAAACTCTTGTGGGACACTCTTGTAGGACACTCTTGTGGGACACTCTTATAGGACACTCTTGTGGGACACTCTTGTGGGACACTCTTAAGGGACACTCTTGTGAGACACTCTTGTGGGACACGGTTGCGGGACACTCTTGTGGGACACTCTTGTGGGACACTCTTACGGGACACTCTTGTAGGAAACTCTTCTTGTAGGACACTCTTGTGGGACACTCTTACGGGACACTCTTGTAGGACACTCTTGTGGTTCACTCTTATGGGACACTCTTGTCGGACACTCTTGTGCGACACACTTGTGAGACACTCTTGTGGGACACTCTTGTGGGACACTCATACGGGACACTCTTGTGGGACACTCTTGTAGGACGCTCTTGTGGGGCACTCTTGTGGGACACTCTTGCGGGACACTCTTGTAGGAAACTCTTCTGGGATACTCTTGTAGGACACTCTTGTGGGACACTCTTGTACGACACTCTTGTGGGACACTCCTGTAGGACCACTGTAGGACACTCTTGTGGGACACCCTTGTGGGACACTCTTGTGGGACACTCTTGTAGGAAACTCTTGTGGGACACTCTTGTAGGACACTCTTGTGGGACACTCATACGGGACACTCTTAAGGGACACTCTTGTGGGACACTCTTGCACGAAACTCTTGTGGGATACTCTTGTATAGGTTGTGGGACACTCTTGTAGGACACTCTTGTGGGACACTCTTGTAGGGCACTCTTCGTACGAGACTTCCTCCAAAAGTCACACGTCAATTCTCCAAAACGAGCGTTTCGTACGAGACTTCCTCCAAAAGTCACATATGTCAAGTCTCCAAAACGAGCGTTTCGTACGAGACTTCCTCCAAAAGTCACGTGTCAAGTCTCCAAAACGAGCATGTCGTACGAGACTTCCTCCAAAAGTCAAGCGGAAACACCCATCGGAGCACACACATCACGCAGCCCTGCCAAGCAGTTTCGCGAGTCCAGCCCCTCCAAACAACACCCGTTCACACGCCAATCCCACTGTGACAGCGACATTCACCTCTACCACAACTCACACCCTCACAATTCCCTGCGCCTGCCACGAATCTTTCCGCATCCACACGTCTAACGCGCACAAAGTACTGCGCCTGCCACGAAATGTCACCTCCGTCACACCTCGCAACCTCACCATTCCCTGCGCCTGCCACGAGAATCGCACTTCCACGCCTCAAAGCCCACACAAAGTACTGCGCCTGCCACGAAAAGTGGCAATATCATCTCATGTCAGCTTCAACAAAATTTGCACCACACCACACGTTTGGAATGATTTCGACCCGTTCTGAACACACTCCCATCCACCAAAATCGCCATTTCAGCTGAGACTGGTCACGAAAACAGAGCTTCGATGCCACACCCTGAAACGCAAATCCCAATGGCACGGCCACATCCAACGCCCCAAAAACACGACTCTCCAAACGCTAATCGCAATGGAACTGCGTAGCAAACTGAGATCTCACAAAACGCTGCGCCTGTGCAGCGAAATGCATCACGCTTCTTGCGCGACATGTCATTTTCATGCAAATCACAATGGAATAGCGTCGCAAACTGACACGTGACACATCCATGAAAAGTAACTTGCAAAAGCTTCCCCCAATGGCAGCGCCTTAGCGCTCTACTGCGGACGGTTGCGGACGGTTGCGGACGTAGAAACAACGGATCGCGAACAAGGCTCTACCCCCAGACCCCCAAGAGTTAAACGAGAACCCTTTGCTACGCATTCGGAAAGTATCGCCAACGCCACCCGGTTGGCATCAACCCCAGAGCCCGACCTTGCTCGGGTTTCTGCCACCGGTCCAAATCACCCCCACTTCGCCCCTCCGTCCCCCACCGACGCCCAAGTGACCGGCGAGTTCGTCCTCCACGTGGACGCTCGCACGCCGGACGCGTTGGATCACCAACTTCATGGCGCCGTGAGCGCCGGGCGCGGAACAGGACCCCGTCCGGACGGACCGTCACGTGTGTGTTCCACCACGGACACGCGTGGAACACGTGTAACTGTAACTACTGGAACGGATGGAACATCCGGTGTCACCAAAGTGCAGAAGGCCTTGGAACCACTGAAAATCAAAAACACGTGTGTTGGTCAACCATGTGTTGCACAAGCCTGCGCCTGATTGATTGAAATGGACTCTTCTCAACGTGTCACAAGCTAATACTTCTTCAAACTTCTTCTGTCTGAAGCAGTGGCTTTGCTCTCCAAAGCTGGTACGTCACCACATGTGTCGTCTTTTCCGTCTTCGTCTTCAATACGGCCTCAATCACTTGAGCACCGCTGTCAGCTGCAAAGGTCCTATGAAACGAGTTCGTCTGCACTCAGTGCTCTCTCGTTAGTTGAACCTGTAGGACTGTAGGACAATAAGCCTTCGCTTGCATGAAATCGTCCTCCGCATAAAATCTGGATTCAGACCCTTTAAACTTCAAACACCAACATGGCTTCCTTGAAGCCCCATTCAGTTTCCCATGTTCTTTTCAACTCAGCCCTACTCCACACTTGTGGTTTTTTTCCTAGCATCTGTTGCCAAAATTTTGGCTTCCCCCCGCCAGCTTCAGCGGAGGATTTGACCCCAGAAAAGGCCACTCATTAGCTTCAGGGACGCTCCACCGTACGGACGTCCGGCGATCTGATATCACACCGTTGGAAGAGGAAAAGAATGGAAAAGTGTCATTAATTCTTTCATGTCTTTTGCAAATTGTTTTTTGAAAAAGAAGATCTATTGGCACCACTTCCGCTTTGTGTGGTGCCTCGTTCAAGCCTCGTGAATTCGTCCATCAACTCTGAAAAATCACCGGCCAAGATCCGGAGGATGCGGGGCTCCCGGATATGTTACTCAGCCAAAGGAAGTTTGAGCAGATCAAACGTGCGGGGATGGATCGTTTCATGCACCCTCAACCTTGTCATGCGATGAGCGATGAGCTTCATGCAAGAAAAAGAAACTGCCAATGTTCCAAAGGGGCAAAAAACTTCCAGCGATTCTAGCGACAAAGGCCATAGGCAAGGGAGAGCATCATCTTGGAGGATTTGAGGGTTGACTACTTGAGGTGTATTCCTGCTGGACAAAAGAGGATACAACCCCTTCAGCTCATCTAGCAGACGGCTGTTCTCAAACTTCCGGTAGCTTGGGTCCACTTTGGACCCTGAAACGCTCGGCTTCTGTACAACAACTGCCCGGGTGGTTGCCAGTTGCTAACGATGGCCTAGGGTTTTCTCGACTCATTCCACCGCTTGTTTTGCTGGGGATACTTGTTGGAAAAGGAGAATGGATGTGGGCAGAGCTAGTTTGCAAAGGAAGCTGGTCCTCCCTGAGGTGCCATGTTCGTTGACCATGGACTATAGGGCAATTCCTCCACTGCTTCGAGTGGTCACCAAGTTAATGCAACATCAAATTGGATGTGATGGGGCTCCCAAACCAACAGCGAAGCGAAACCCGCTTTGAGCATCTGTCATCTGATGATCATCTATGGTCTTTGAAAAACCCGCGGCAATTGACGTCTTTCTTCCCACGCGCGGGACACGTGGAGATCCCAAGCGTTAGAGAAGTTCCCCAACACGTAGAGATCCCAAGAAAATGCTCTCAAATGGTCTCAAACAAGTCGAAACCTGTTAAACCCAGTCCCAACCAGGAGCAAATCAGTGTTCCAATGTGGCTTGGTTTGATATCCTTTACATCAACAAGTGGTTGGAGAAGAATGTTCAGAACTGTTTCTGGTTGGAACCTTCAGCTTCAACACGCATCTGCTTCGGACGCGAGGCCTGGCCTCGTCCCAGGCACCATTCACCTGTTTTTGCGAGAAAATCCCAGGCCTGGCCCTCCCTAAGTCCACTTCGACCTGGAGGAACGATTGGATGGTGCCCACCTGCGACCCGTCGCACCCGTCGGACGAGAATGGAACGTCGGAGCCGAGTCGGGCCTGAGAGGGGCAGAGCTTTCAAGAGTTCAGTGGGAAGAATGAGAATGGCACGCTGCTTTAAAACAATGACCCAAATGCTCCGTTCACAACCCGACTGGTCCCTCAAAACCCTAGGATTTGAGGGTCCGGACCGGGTCCGGCCCCTACTTAAGAGGGTCCAGGGTCGCGTCTGAGTAAAGAATAGTTTGTAGTATTTACATCGATATTTAAGGAGAACATCAATAAACAAACATGAAGACTCTGCAACATCTTGCTACCCATTTTCAGACGTTGGGCCTCAAAATCGGTGTGTGTGTGTGTGTGCATGAGAATATGCATGAGTAAAAGCATTGGAGATGCTACTGGTGATACAAGCTGCATCACTAACAACAGGTTGAGGTTCCATTCCTCAAGAGTGAATGAACAAGCTGAAGGATACTTCCAGGGTGACATGTCTTCATTGGTTTCAGTTCTTTATGTCGACGATCTGCCCGGCCCCCTGGTCTTCAAAACATTCATCTGACAGCTGCAAACTTGCTTAACAGGTGCAGCAAGAGAGTGTATGCGATGGTTTTTTCGCAACATACATAACATCCATCAACACAACAAAGCTTTCACACTGACATGCTGTGAGAAGGAATGCATTTCCTTTGCAATGGGCCTCCGAAAGGGAGGCCAAAACCTGCTAAACACGTTTCCTCCAACCGAAAGGAAGTGCGTTTCTTACATGGTCAAACTATTGGGCCATTCTTGGAAGAATGAAAAAAAACAACTCCATTCACAGCGGATTGTGTTCTGTTTCTTTCTCTACGGTTGAACCAACACTCGCCTCTGCGTCCGGTCAGGCATAGGGAAATCCTCCGAGTCCGGACACAACGTGCGCCGAGTGCGATCAGACGCATGGCCAGTTGCTAACGATGACCCGTTTCTTCCTCAAAAGACCGACTCCACTTATTGGCACTGCCAAGTTGACGTCACAGGGCAGATTTCAGCCCTCCGGCGTCCAACTTCCGCACGCTTCGGAGAGCCCGGTTCCAGAGTTGATCCAATGCGGGTCAAGCACGTCTTTTCGCCGAAAATGATGGACCAAATTTGTGACTAGAAGGACCACATGGGGGTGAGGAGGCCCCTTCCCCTTCCTTTCACCAAGCAGGGGACAAACGACCCAAAGCATCGATTTGGTCCAATCCTCACGTGGATTTGATGTCCAAACATGTCAAAACCTTGGGTCTATCCTACTACCGATGATGCTTAGGTAGTAGGCCTTGTTCAAAAATAATGATAATGTAGACTCTTAATAAAACTGCCCCAATTGAATCGGAAATCCTTTTATTAACTGAGTCTACATTAATTTGCTGCCTGTTACACATAATAGAGACCGAATCCTCCACCGAATCCTCAGTCAGTAAACAAGCAAATCACTATTATTGAACAAGGCCCGCAACCTAACCATCCTCATCCACAGTTACAACCTGATGTCTTCTCCCTCGCCTTGGCCTGGCATTGGTGGCACGGTCTGAAGCTGAAAGCCTCGCTTTCTCGTGCGTTCAAGCCGGGTCTTTTTTCGCCCATGGATCCACCCTTTTTAACCCAAGAGACAAAACAAACAAATAACAAATGAAACACAAACAAGAAAAAACAACTGCAAAAACGGGCTTCGACTCTTGCCTATTCTCTTATAAAAAGACTGTCTTTATCTTCGTCAGTCTGTGCAGCGTCAGTCGTGAACTCTCCACTCTCCACGCGCCATAGACCGGTTCGACCCTCGCCTGCGGGCATTGACATCCTGGCCGCGTCAAAGCGTCGACGATCACAGCCGGTGGAAGATGGGAAGTTCTGGAAAAATTGGGCCAACCTTTGGGAAGATGGCAATTCAGATGGCAATTCAATATATCGTCGAACTGGACTGGAAAAGGGTAGATCTGTAGACTTTTGATGAATAAGCACCTTTGATATCCGGAGTCATCCCATACCGCACCAACCGGTCCCGCAGGTCGGGCGCGAAGCCAAACGGTCCGGTCACCACCGGTCCCAACGAACGGTGTGGAGGAAGCAGAATGGTGCTCTTAAGTGTTAGCTATACCTAGATGTTCTAAAAGACTGTAATTCTTGCCTTTTCTTGGAAATCGGGCTTTTTGCGAAAAAGGCAGAAAAAACGCCCTCGGGCGGATCTTCCAAATCAAGTGGTTTCAACGAGGAGCCGTAATTTGCAAACTGCAAAGCTCAAACAGGTCTACATGTAAAACAATAGAGAATTTCTGGGGTTTCAAAAAGGCGGAACTTCCCGGCATTCGGGCGGATTTACCCAAACACCCTGTTTTATAGTTGTAATCATGATTCATGATTTTTTTGGCACTGATGTTGCGTTTTACAAGTTCTGAATTTCTCCAACTGCCCTCGGGCAGAAATTTATGCCTCAGGCGGAAACCTGAGATTCGGGCAGAAAAAGCAGCCTGAAACCATTCGGGCAGAAATAAACGACTTCGGAACATCTAGGTATTTGTACCCTACAGTGGAAGAAATGAGAAGTTTAGAACGTTCATGCCATGTGCGCTTCATGTGTCATCCACTGGCACATATCTTTCCCTTTCCACTGATGCACGGAGGAGAGTGGCATTGCTCCCGTGGCGCATGCGCAAAAGAGTCGGTTTGCAAGAACACTGGTCGGATGCCCGATGCACTGATCTCCTTCAAAAGTGTTGTAGAGTTTAAGGGTCGTCTACATTTAAAAGTACCAAAGCAGCAACTGTAGTTGAACAAACTTTTTCGAGAGAGAGGGACCTTCCTTGCAAACTTGTTGGTTGTTCCTTCGTGACATGATTTGGAAGGTGGAAAAACCTCCACCTCATACACTCATCTCAACTGCCAACGGCCCTTCCTTGCCGATCCCAGCCCCTCTTCACCGCATCGACCGCGTCTCCCACCGTCCTGGCCGGCACAGACCCCGCCACGATGGCGGGCGCGGCACCCAGAGGCGCGGCGCCCAGCAGACCCAGTGGGGCGGCCACAGCGGCGGGCGGGGTGAGCCGACGCGCCTGCGCAGAAAGGGTTTTAGGGTGCGCATGGAGGACGGGCTTTTCGTTGCCAGGTGAATGTGTGTGTAAAAAGACCATGGTTCTATTGACCAATGACGGGTTTACTTGAACATCCACGGAAGTAGCAGTGACGTCAAGCATTTTGGAGGGTTAATATCTCGGGATGTCTCAGGTTTCCGGCCTGCGTCGTGCGTTGTGGCGTTTTTTCAGGACGTCCAGTTAAGGCAATTGGTTGTCTGGATGGCAGTGGTTTAAACCCGAAACCCCCAAAATCCGAGTCAACTGCGGTAGTCATTGCCAAATTGGGTTGAAATGGGTTGGAGAGCAAATGCAGTTGCTAAGTGACTTAGACCTCTAGTCTTCAACCGAAAAATTGCCAGCCATGGCCCGAATAGGAACCTGACCCAACATATCCATCTTGTCTCCCTTGCATTCTTTCTTCCGCATAATTGGTTCTGAAGAGCGGCGTTTCAGGGGGTCGTATGCAGAGTCAGAGCCATCTGTGACAGAGCTCTGAGACATTCTTGGTGTCTTTCGGTCGCCGTCCCAGGTTCTTTTCTCGCACGTCGAAATTGGCGGGAAAGCAGGTGAGAGAAACCCCAAAAACCACTGTCACGCCACGCGACCATCTGCGGACCACAGAGGGAGAACCTCTGAAAGAAATGGATCGGGGGTGGCAAATCCTTTCAGCTAAACCTGCCCAAAAGACACAAAATGATATTGACCTATCGGCCTATGAGTTTGTCTGCTTGTCTCACCATAGAAGGACACTCCAAACGCCAAGTGTTCCATGTTTGGTCAAAATGCAAACAACTCATGGCCTCCACCAGCTCGCAGCAAACTCAACCATTCATTGTGCTGCGTGTGATTTTTAACTAGGGAGACTTACCCAGGCGTCCCGACCCTCCGGAAGATGGAAAATAGACCAGGTCTACCCAGCCAGGTTGGGAAGTCTCCCCCGATGAAAATACACCTGCGACCCCACCTCTGCAGCACCAGTCCACGGAGGACTGCGGGACAGCACAGGACCACTTTCAAGGACATTGCGGGGGATCTTCAGGTGCATGGAAAATGGGTTCATGGCAGTACCGACCGGTGGACGAGAGACCATGAAGAGATTGGACGACCTGACTAGAGTCGGTCAACCTACCCTGGTGAGTGAGTTCGGGGCTCCAGGTGCCCTGACTCACAGCCAGTGGAAGGTCAGTCAAGAAGGGTCTTTTCTTCTGCGCAAAGTGGGAATGACCCGGCACATCAAGTGGGATACTTGGATACTGCACGGGAACTTCAAGAGAAGACACATCGTTCTCAAACTTCACGGCCCGGTGAGTCATTTAGTGTTTGAAACCCAGTGGCAACAGGCTTGTCAGCCGGCTCCGTTTACCAGAACAAACGGTGGTAATACCGTCCCATTTTGAGCAAGCGCTCTGTATTCGGGTTCCAAAAAAACATCGTTCGCAAACTCAGATCCGATCTTGAGATGATGAATTGGTCCCCGTCAACAATGCTTCATGATTCTTCAGGTCCAAGTGCCTCTTGATATTCTTCTTCAGCCCGATGGCCAGTTCTCCGATCACCTCCCTTGATCTTCGATCTTCGCGCCCCAAAAAAGGCGTTGTTCTTCCCGCACGTACCCATACGTCGCCCATACGCTACCTGGATTGCCATGAAATCCTCTACAAACCGGGTGGTTTTCCACTTCCATGATGATTCCAGGGAGTATTGCCAAAAGCTGTCCAAAAACCCATCAAGAACAACATGTGTATGGCTTCAATTTCAACATACTTCAGCCCTTGCTAGACCCAACTAATTCTTCGGGAAAAACACTAGACCCGAATTTGGAAAGATCCACAAATGAAATTTGTCCATGTTTGTACACAGTTTTCCATGCTTATGCTAGGTCATCTTCCTCTCCAAGTGTTCCCCTCTCCAAGGTCATCTGCTTGGTCAGTGGTTCGACCCCAAACCCCTGGGTCGCGTCGATGTTTCGACCAATGCTGCAGGGTTCTGCCAAGCAACATGGGCAATCCTCTGAAGGAATATGCATGTCCCGTTGCTGCTCGTAGTGGAGAGATGCACATCAAATGCACATCATTTCCGGATTGTTCCACCGAGGATTTGGCAAACCTCCCAGGACTTCCCAGATGGTGTTTTGGTGGGGGACTCATGTCCCAGATCCTCAACTTCCAGACTTTTGCGACTCCCACCACATCGCACCTGCTCCAAGTTGGCATCGTCGTCACTGGAGCGCCTCACCATTCCAAGTCATGGTAAGACAGGTTCCAGGAAACGGTTTCTGCCTGATTTTACCATGACGACCACGTCACAAAGTCTCTTGGAAAATGATGTTCCTTTACAAACACGGTGGTTTTCCACCTCCATGTGCGTTGCAGTGGTAGTAGTGGTTTCTTAGAACCATTCTTTCTCCAGTTGTGAAACGACATCACTCCCGCCCGCGGCGCGCTATGCGTGCGCCACGCAGAGTGCGTGCGCCGTGTGGCGCCTGCCGCGCAATGCGTGCGTGGAGGAGCCACTCCTGGCGTCGCGAGTAGGGCGTCGTTCGAGCTTCGAAGGACCGGTGGGAGCGACGAGAGCCTCTGCCACGTTCCTCTTTGGGAGAGGACATCCTTCGTGCTGGACCCATCTGCCACAGTCGAGGGCAAACAACTAGCGAGGCTAGGCTACGAGCTGTATGACCCTTCCTGAAACAAGCATGGAAGTGGACCAAACCCCCTGATACCCCCTGTTTGTAGAGGAACAAATGGTGGGCAGTGCGGCTCAGGTCTGGCCGACCGAGGCGTGCTCGTCCGAGCTCGAGCCATGACATCCACATCGACGTCCGATCATAGCAGAGATCAACTTTGGAATGTGTTTGACAGACCTATTGAGCGGTCGAATCTGCCAAAGTTTCCAGAAGTCTGTCAACAGATGAGTGAAAGAAACGCCGGATTTTGCAGAGTGTGAAGAGAATGTTTGGGAGTTCTTGGAGCCAAGCTGGTAGCTGTGATCATATATGTCACTTGGAGTGCATGTTTGCTTTGTCGAATTGGTCGGTTCTATGGCTATGGAAATCGACTCACTCAGAGTCTACGGAGGTTTCCAACTTTGGCTTTACAGTACCGATGATATCCGATGATTGCGCTCTGAAAGTTGTGCTTATGGTGAGTTGTTTGAAGATTCTTTTGATGACTTGTGAAGTCCCATTGTGGCCAAAAGGCGCATGCATATCGACATCTGCCTGAGCCAATGACGCAGTGATCCTACCACTTCACTTGGTTCTTTCGCTGCATACGACCCAGTCGCTGCATACGACACTGTGTAGAGACTCTCTCTCTCTGTAAGCCTCCCTCTGTGTGGGCGTCTGGTAGCCGTGCATTCAGCGGTAGATTCTCACTGACTTTTGCTGGCTTGATCCAATGATGGATCTTGCTTGTTTGCAGGTTCCACTTGTCATCGCGTGTCTTAAACCTCTCCGATACATTCCGATACTGTGTGAAACTATGTGAAGCTTTTCGTGTTGACTCTTTGACATTGTCATTTTCCGTGACTCACCCGTGCGGCATCGATCGAGCCGCGAGGCGAGGAGCGGCACCGAGCAACCACTTCGATGATGGTTGGGACCGTAGGGATCCGGTCCTACCTTCTCAGGTGTGATGTGTGTCCGACACTGGAGGTGTCAGCCAGTCGAGTCCAGGAAGGTACCTGAGGTTTGGTACTTGGATCCCAAAGGGGCAGGGAGCTTCTTCTCGTACATCGAGATGTGGAAAAAAAACTCAGCTGGACAAGGAAAACTGCAGTGCAGCTGCAGCTGCACACCATCACCCTGTTCGATTGAATTGCAAAGAGCAACATCCACAAAATGACTCGAAGTAAGAGAAAATCGCCCTCTTTCGGTCTTTCATTAAAACCTGTTTTGGTGCGAAAACCTGCGGGATTAGGGTGTAGGGTTTAGGATGGTTTAAGGGTTCACCCCCCAAGTGGTCACCCGCATTCTAAGGTCGAAGGAACTTCGCTCGGCACCTGGCCGAGGCGGAGGCGTGTGAGCCTGGCGTGCACCGCGCCGGGCCGTTCGTCGGTCCTTCGCTGCCTTTTTGGGGCGCCCCGTGAAACGGATGGACTCTGGGCCCTCCGTCAGGTTGAGTGGAGTACGAAAATCGCCGCGTGGATAAAGAACTGATGAAGATAGTAACAAGGAGGCTATTAATGGGAGGCCATCGCGTTTGTAGGTTGGAGGCCATCGCTACGAACGTCACAAGAAGCCATGAATCGTTCCAAACCCCTCGATCTACATGCAGTATAAGACGTGCGCGAAGGAGACGGAGAGATTGGACTGCAGCCCAAGCTCTTGGTCGGGAACTGTACAGCATTGGAAACATGGCATAATATAAGACACCCCAAATCCCAAGCAACGTTCAATCCAGACGCGACCCTGGACCCTCCTAAGTAGGGGCCGAACCCTCATATGCAGGGATCCGGCCCCTCAAATCCGTATGATTTTGAGTTATTTTGAGGGACCAGTCAGGTTGTTTGGAGTGTGTGGGATCACAAAATGTTCCTCCATGTTCGGTTTTCGCATCCAAACAGATGACACGTCCGCGTGTTAAACTGGAAGATCGTCCGAGAAGTGAAGATCCACGTACCACGTCCCAAGTCAACATAGACAATGAATTCCTGGACCCCTGGGTCCGATGGGTTTCCTCTACCCGACTTCTTTTTTCTTTTTTTTTTTTTTTTTTTCGGATCCTATCCAACTTGGATCCTGCCTTCATGCCTCCCTGTGTCTTCCCCCCACCCTCTCCTGCGTAGAAGGTCTTGCTGGCATGGTCTGGACGCAACAAGCACGCTGCTAAAAAGATGGGGTCAGGAGTCAGGAGCACTATGTATATAGGTGGAAACCTACTGGACAACTAGCAATCTACATCCCATGTCTGCTCATCTGGATGTGAGGCAAATCTCTATGAGCAACAAATGGGTGAGGAGCTCTGGGCAAAAGCAACATCTTCTGCCACATCCCGACAGGGATTCCCAACACAAGTCTATGATGTCTACTAGCCCTGAGATGTATGCCATGTCATGCCATGTCGAAATTGCCTTGGCAGTCCAAGCAGGTGCCAAAACCACCCAGGGTCATTAGATGTCATTAGTCAAGATTCTCCTGGCGCACGCCCGCCCGTGTCATGAAGTGCAAGTCTAGAAGACATGGACATCCTGCTCCATAGTCCACAGAGTCTCAGGGTCATCTGCCTCTGACGTCCAGCATCATGTTCAGGTTCTTTTCGCAGTCTTGAGCGTTTAGTTCTACGAGGGGGTCGTTTTCGCCCAAATCGATCTAACTTGAGTCTTGATGTCATACTCCACACACTCATTCTTCTCTTAGCATTCTGTTCACATCACCCAGGTCCTTTCTCACATTCCACGTTGGCGCCTGGAGAGCTGCAGCATCACCCTGGCGCCGGCGCCAAATGGGGTCCCCGGAGTTTGGACAGAGAGGCCTGGATGGATTCGCACCAACCTGGGCTGAGCGATCTTAGATATGATGTCTTGAAATGTCTTGAACAGATGTCGATTCGGAGACTGAGATCTTGGAAGCTTCCAGAAGCCGTCCTCGGCTGCAGACCCTCGGCTAGACCGTGTTGCGGCGACCCCCACACAGTCTTCAATACGGTCGTACCACCCCGTTCGCGTCACCTGACAAGAAACAGTGCCACCCCGAGTGCTTGGTTTCAACCAGCCCCCATGTGATCACATGTGATCACGGCTAAATATGTTGTTTTTTTGGTCGCCCTTACTTAAGTAAGTAGGCGCCTACTGAATTAAGGGCACTCAGGGAGACTAGTTGGCTTCTAGTAACTGGACGCAGGATAGCTCACGCCTCTTCAACGAAGCTGGGGGGAGCTTCCTTGAAGAAGCGCTTAGACTAATGATCCCAAAAACTTCCACCTAATCAGAAATGGTCCTTTGCCCAGAACTCAAACCAGAAAGCACCCGCAACGCCTCAACTCAGGTTGAAACTGACAGAAACTCATCACTTCTTCATGCATGTCTGGTGTGCTCACGGTCTCTCGACCACGACGGCCCTAGCCCTGAGCATCGCTGTGGTAACCCCATCAAAAGAAGGGCTGGTAACCACTGATGCAGCTCCAAAACCACGCGAAGTACGAAAAAAACTACAGATGTGATTCAGTCGCTTCGAAACATGCGACCATGGAACATGATCCCCAACATCTCCCAACCCTCTGAAACCAAGAAACAACCACGGCGATCTTTCGATGGAGCTGATGGCCGATCCCTGCCGGCCCAGGATGGCGCCTTGCGCCCACAATGGCCACAGTAAAGTGCATCACTGGGGAGAGAGGCTCCGCAAAAGGAGCAATAGTCCTTTTCGCTTCAGCTCGAAAACGACGTGGCAATGAAGTGGACGTCCTACTGAAGAGCACGAGACTGGGAAAACATATTCAAAACAATTATATACTTGTCCTGAAGCAATATGGCGGTGGAAAAAACCTTTTCTTATTTTCTTGTATATATCTCTTTCTCATGGTATCTCACGGTCATTTCCCATTCAATACCTGCATGGCTAAAACACCACAGGCTTGGGTTGGTTAGGGCCGAACGGTGTGCTTTCTTTGAGGTAATGATATGCTTCCAAAAACTTCTCTTCGAACTTCAATTTTCCACCTCCCATTCTTCTTTTGAACCGATCCTCTGGTGCTCTTCATGAGCCGATCCTCTTGCGCGAAAACCCGGCCCTGTGAGCGAGGAAGATCCCCCAAAAGCGACGAGTTGTGACGAAGGCACGGCACCTTTGGGGGGACCTTCTTGGGCGCCCAGGGCAGTCGGTCGCATCCCAAACCGCAAACCGGCCATCAATATGTGAATTCATAAATAGATGGCCTCCAACCTAGAAGCGATGGCCTCTAACCTAAGAGTGGTTTGCTATGTGAATGCTTTTACACCATACCTATACATTAAAATCATGACAAAGAATTGTTCCTGGCAGTGCCCATCAGGGCACTGCCAGAAGCTCTCCTCTGCCGGCAAGGACGCCTCGGTCTCGGTACAGTCTCGAAAGTGATCGACTTCGTTGCTAGTAGCTAGTAGCTTCTTGCTCCGTTCGTAGCGATGCCAGGAGCCCCTAGTAGCGTCCTTGCTCCTAGTAGTAAGGCCAGGAGCCCCTAGTAGCTTCTTGTTACTAGTAGCGATGCCCTTTGCTCCTAGTAGCGTCTTGCTCCGTTCGTAGCGATGCCAGGAGCCCCTATAGTAGCTTTCTTGTTGCTAGTAACTTCTTGCTCCGTTCGTAGCGGTGCCCTTTGCTACTAGTAGCTTCTTGCTCTTAGTAGTAAGACCAGGAGCTACTAGTCGCTTCCTTGCTACTAGTTGAGTTCGGGACTGTGCTTGGCACAGAGATCTCGCCCTATCCACAGGAGTTGCTTACAGGCTTTCCACGTGCATCATAGTGATTCATAGTGCATCATAGTGCATCAAAGTCTACAAATTTCTGGTTGATTCTTTCAAAAGAGCCGGTCCATGCCCTTCCTGCTTCAAGTCAAAGGTCCAAGGGCTAGACCTAAGGTATGACTCAATGATATTCAGGTACATATATGAATTGGTCCAAGTACAAACATCCTATCACGTCTTTCCACCTGGCACCCTTTGCTGCTAGATCCCTCCCGCAGTCCCAGGATCATCCAGTCGTCTCACAGGAGTCGTCCACCTGAGGGTGAACAACCATGTGACACAAAGGTCTGACGAAGGTTTTCTCAGATCATCCGAATCTCAGATCATTCGAATCTGGACTCCATTCGCGAAGTGCAGGAGGTTGTAATTTTAAAACGAGGATTCTGGGTGCTGCTCTTAGTGCTTCACCGAACATGCCAAGAAGATCTGTGTTCTCTTTGTCAGACTCTGCACCCTGACCTCTCTCGTCGATTCGGAAATCTCTCGCTCTCCGGCTTTGCATCAAACCCGCGAACGAGGGGAGATAGAGAGAGAGAGAGGAAAATTGGGAGCAGAGGTCGCTAGTAGGTTGGAGGCCATCGCTACTAGGTTGGAGGCATCCGCTATTAGTAGCAAGAAGCTGCAAATAGCTCGTGGCCTTACTACTATAGGAACAAGAAGCTACTAGTAGCAAAGGCATCGCGACTCGAACGGAGCAAGAAGTTACTAGCAAGAAAGCCAGTATAGCTACAGTAATAGCTAGAAGCTACTAGGTGGAGGCCATCGCTACTAGTAACAAGAAGCTACTAGGAGCAAAGGGCATCGCTACTAGGAGCAAGAAGCTACTAGGGCACGGAGCAAGAAGTTACTAGCAAGAAAGCCAGTATAGGGGCTCCTGGCCTTACTACTAGGAGCAAGGATGCTACGAATGGAGCTCCTGGCATCACTATTGGTTACTCCGGCTTTGCATCAAAGCCCCCCCCATCGCCCGCCTTTGCTCGGTCGACTGCTCACCTGGCCGGGGCGTGCGTGGTTGAGCGGAAGGCCAACATGGAAAGCCTCTGTCGACGAAGCCTTTTTTGGTGCCACTTTTAGGCTGAAATGTCTTCAGTCCAGAGTTGTGGAGGAGAACTTGGGAAACTGTATCTTCTCACCATACTCTGATTTTCGTGGGTGTAGCTGCTACAGCTCGGCGTCTCCAATATCTGATTGACACGACCTGTCTGAGACTGCCATAGGACTGCCGCCCCATTGACCCCCTTTCAACCACCCCTGCCCTGATCGAAATAGATGGCAGTGCCAGACTCAGGTCATGTTTGGGAAGTCGCAAACACAATCAAAAGCTTTGGAGTATGGGGAGCAGCCCGGGCGCTCAGGTCACCGATAGGAAAGGCTACAGCACACGGGGCACACGGGCGATCTGCCGTCGACGTCAGTACGATCGACCGGTCGACGCTGCCTGGAAGCCCCACGGACCCTCGGTGCGAAGAAGGGGGTGTACCTCGGAGGTCGCGAAAAGCGTCGCGTCGTTCTGCCTCTGCCTGCTGTGTTTTCCTTGCCTCGTGGGCAACGCGAGTCAAAAGGAACTGCACTATGACTATATAGGTAACCTGAGTCAAGACATGTCGTTTGAATACTGGGTGGTGCCCAATTCTTGTCGAACAACACTTTTCAGGGAATTCGTCAAGATGGAGGAGACACAATTCATGGTTTGGGAATTATTTCATCTCAACCAGTTGTGCATTGATTCATGATTTAAGAATATGAACGCTCTGAAGCAATGATTTGTTGTGCCGTGCCCCCCGTACGAGCACGCGAAGACCAAACTATATTCATATGCCAGTCAAGAAGGAGGAAACTCTCCATCTGCGAGAGATTCGCCAGTCGCACAAATCTGAGCCAACATTGGCCTCAAACTTGGGAGGCTCCAGGCCAAAGCCAAGTGCTTCCTAATTTTGAATGTCTGCTCCAGGTCCCTCTTCCAAAGCAGCTCTTCTTGTTCTAGGCGGTGCAGCCAGGGTGCGTGCAGCCTTGGCATCCAGGGCCGAGGTTCTATCTTGGCATGGGTCTCACCATGTTCAGCATTTGGAGGGTCGGATGGTCTCACCATGGTCCTGTCCCCCAACGATGCACGTTGACGCCTGGAGCCTGGAGCGAATATTTTGTATAAAGCCGGTCAATCACCTATAGGGGCGGATGTTGTCTTTTTCAGTGATATCTCCTATATAGGAAGAGCCAATGCCGCCGCCGGCATGAACCCATTGGTTGCGGGGGTTCCAACCTACCCACCATGGCCCACCATCTTCACCCTCAGGACTGGAACTGATGTAGCATGGACTTCTCGGTGAGGAGCACCCGTGAGGATTTCAACCATAAAATATCTTCTGCATGTTCCAGCTGGTGGACTCCTCCGAGCGCTGGCAATGATGTCCGACCTTGGGAATGATAAGAGAAGTGAAGGTGTCAGGTACCATTGATACTGCGTTCGTAGCTGCCTTCGTAGCTGCCTTCGTAGGGGCTGCCCTGGTTACTATAGCGATGCACTTGTTTACTATACCCTAATAAGGATATGCACCCTCAAAAACAAGGGTTTGGTTCGGGGCCCCTGCCACCCTTGTGAACTAGAGGGTTCGACCCCGCCATGGAGGGTCCGGACGACCGGATCCTTGGGATGGGTGATGCTTCTTCTGATCCGCATGGATCGGATTGGCGACCCTTCACGACCAGTTCGGACGAATTTGATCAAAACCTTTCGACCAGAAACCACCAAACCCATGGTGGTCAGGCCATGAAACCACCGGGTCGTCGATCCGTCACGCCATCTTCGGGACATGTCCAATAGGGTATCAAACCATGTCAAAAGACCATAGAAGGATGGTTTTACCATGGTGTTATCCTATTTTACGAGGGGAATTGATTCGATTCAACCAATGGTTGGTCGGGCGCCATGCTCGCGCTCCGCCTGAGCCTCCCGGACTCGGCTTCCGCTTCCGGGAGGCGTGGCCGAGGCCGACTGCGCGGGCTCCGGCTGAGGAGAATAACACCCAAACACGACCTGTCTGGGACTAGATGCCGATCAATTGACCCTCCAGTCAACCACCCCAACAGTCCTATGGCAGTCCCATGGAGTGTCTGGGACACTTCAATTCCAAACATGCGTGTAACATTGTGTAACATATGCAAATATATATATATATATAATCAACCCATATCAACCCCATCATTTGGGTGTGATCTGAGATGATATTGGAAGTCTTCCCTCTCATTTGGAAGCCTGAAATTGGAAGCAACTAACTAACAGGTGAAGAAGAAAACACCAGCAACATCCGATCAACCTGGCCCGAGGTTGGTTTATATACCTCGAAGTCAACACGAACCTGGAAGCCATGTCACGAGTGCATGTCAGGACAGGTCCAGCTCGCATAGGGGTCTTCGGAAATCCAAACGAAAGACCCTTGACCCTCTCGGCTCAAATTCCAAGTGATGGTGTTTTCTTGAGCTCAAGAGCTTGCTTTGGAGTGAAGAAGAAAACTCAATGAGGAACAAGGACACTACTAGGGGCTCCTAGCAGCCTAGCATCGCTACTAGGAGCAAGGACGCTACTAGGCCTACTAGGGGCTCCCCACTTCCTGGCCTTACTACTAGGAGCAAGGACGCTACTAGGGGCTTGTGGCCTTACTACTAGGAGTAAGGACGCTACCGAAAGTTTTTCAGTCCAAGCCAAACGCCTGCGTGGCGCTGGCCGCCCCCGCGATGGCCACCGGGATCGTCGTTGAGCCTTCTACCTGCACGAGCGGTGACAAGAAGCAACTGTCGTGAAGGCCGAAAGCTTGGCGAAGCATCTCGGGTATCACCTTTGAGCAATGTTAGCAAGGCGCTCTTTGATCGGAGAATTGACTGACCAACCCCTGAAGCCTAAGGTAGGACCCATGAACCTCAGATTTGAACCTGCTCCGATCTCAACACGAATCACCTCTAATCCATTCTGCGCAACGATCACCCGGCATTTGATCCGACCACCCATCGATCTAAACTGGCAGAATGAATAGACACCACCCTATAGCAGAATGGTTAAACCATCTCATATATCAAAGGTGCTCATTCATCAAGAGTCTGCAGATCTACCCTAGAAGTCCAAAGTCTATATATTTTGACCGGCTGAAGTAAAGGAAGTTCTCCTTTCAGGTCCCCTAAAGACTCAAGACCATTCTTTTTATAGTCTTTGACACCCATGCAGGGTCTACATATGTCTACATTCATTCTTCCTGAATTTCACCGTACCCACCGCTCTGTCTCTGCCGGTCGCCGTGAACATTCTGAGGCCACCGTGGCGACACGGTGGGCCAAGCAAGCCGGCAAAGGGGGAACCTGTGGGGCGATGTCGGTGCCAACAGCAACGCTTCGGTGGAGCATTACTACCATAGTAACTAAGGAATAAAGGGCATCGCTAGTAGGAGCGATCGGACGCTATGAACCTAGCTCCTGGCAGTTCTATTGATACCCTAGACTTCCGTTCATTCAAGTTGAATGGGAACGACCTGGTGTTTGGGACGTGTCAAATCCTTGATTCGGGATGACCCGCCTATTAAATTGGGCCAGGAAGCCGGGCGGGGATAGTCACGATGCACAGCGGTCTGCCGACGTCTTCGTTCGACGTAGCGGAACAGATCCGACGAGATCGTTCGCGTGAGGATAGGCGTTCAGGGCTTTGCGGGGAGAGACGTTCAGGCCACACAGCCGAGTCCGTTGAATGGTCCAAGCCTGACCTCCCAGCTACAGTAATAGCTAGAAGCTACTAGGTGGAGGCCATCGCTACTAGTAACCAGAAGCTACTAGGAGCAAACGGCATCGCCGATACTAGTAACAAGAAGCTACTAGGGGCTAGTAACAAGAAGCTACTAGGAGCAAAGGGCATCGCTACTAGTAACAAGAAGCTACTAGGGGCTCCTGGCCTTACTACTAGGAGCAAGGACGCTACTAGGGGCTCCTGGCATCGCTACTAGTAACAAGAAGAGCTCCATCTGAGAATCCCCAGCCCGGAAGGCGCAGCGGTAGTGGTGGATTCATCGATGCATCAGCCGGCGGAAGCTACAGCAGTCGGTCTGTCCCCATTCTTTCGCCACATCGGCCATTCCGTCTTCCTGTGAAGTTCCAGAGTTAGATCAGTAGCAGGATTCCAGACCTAGTCTATAATGTATATAGACGAAATCAAACCCCCAAAACCCCCTAACCCAGGTAGCATAACCCATCAAGTAAAAGACCTCTGGCATATGCGGGGGGGGGGGTTGTACTTCGTTAAGAATCTAACGAATCAACCGTCTACATTCCCAAGTAGTACAGTAACAAGAAGCTACTAGGAGCAAAGGGCATCGCTACTAGGAGCAATGTTCGCTACTAGGGGCTCCTGGCCTTACTAGGAGCGATCGGACGCTATGAACGGAGCAATACCACTCCACTCTTCAGACCGCATCTGTCCCGCCTCCACAGAGGCCCGTTGAGCTCGGGTGGGCGCCTGCAGCCAATTGGATCAAGGGCCGATGCAGAAATATGGCAAGGTCACTGGCGAGGTCAAATGATCCTTCATCCTGCGGAAGTTCCGCAGCTGTGGCAGGGTTTTTAAACGATTTGGGGGTTGTTGTTGACCCGGTCGGGAAAGTCCGAAAATCCTGTCATGCCGGGCTTCACTCGCTGAATCATGGCTGCGGCATCCTCGCAACGCGCGGGCGTCGCGCGGCGTCTCTCGCGCGCCGGAAGCGTCTGCGCCGGCACGGCCTGGGCCCGACGCGGTGCCGGTGAGGGAGGTGCTTGGGGGTCATGAGATAAGAGGCCATCGCTAGTAGGTTGGAGGCCATTGCTAGCGATGAATGCAAGAAAATCCATGAAAGCTTGGGGGGATCTGACTCAAACAGCCAAATCTACTCATATTTCCTTCAAACCATTGCGTCTTCCACAGCGCTTTGTCTCGTGCTTTGTCTCGTGTAAAGGGAGGGACTACTTGACAAATACTATATATATATATAGTTCGGCTATACCATTGATCATCCCTGATGTGCTAAGTTACTCAGGTCATGTGAGCCTTTCTCGGGGAAGCGGAATGCCTTGGGATGGGATGAAGCCCCTAACTTCCCCTAACTTCAAAACATGAGGGACCTAGCTAGGCCCTATAGCCTTGCCAATTCCTTCTTCGCAACACTCCCGGCACAGTCCCAATCCTGTTCAAAAAATGGAGAACCATCTCACAATGTCCTTGTAGTTTGGAGAAGAAGAATGAAATATGTCCCTGTCTTCCCAGCTGAGAACCCAACAGAGGCCACCGTCGCTGCCACCTGCGCCGGGCCTGCTGCCACAGGCTCAGCTTGTAGCCTGGTGGGTTGTCGCTGCGCATGCCCCGCCATAAACGAGGTACTGAAGTGTTGTGGTTGTGGTTGTGGTTGTGGTTGTGGTTGTGGTTGTGGTTGTTGTTGTTGCTGCTGTTGCTGTTGTTGTTGCTGTTGCTGTTGCTGTTGTTGTTCTTGTTGTTCTTGTTATTGTTCTTGTTCTTGTTATTGTTCTTGTTGTTCTTGTTCTTGTTCTTGTTCTTGTTGTTGTTGTTGTTGTTGTTGTTTACTGAAGTCAACCAAAGGTTGAAAAATACCGAGTTCTATAGCTCCTAGGACTCCTATCCGTGTTCGTTAGGGTAAAGCGGTTGAACAAGAATGACATGTTGTATACCCTCACGACATCTCACAACCCTCTTCATCCATCTTCTACCTTGAAAAGAACAAGATACCAAAAGAAAACCCTCTTAATTTAATCAATAGGCAAATCTCTTTTCGTTCAGAAATTGCCAAACATCCCACCAACTTCTTGCTAAGACTCCTGAAGAAAGATAGCTACGGAATTGGTCAACTGAGCTTTGCTGAAAAGCTTGATAGATCGTCGGTTTCCTCGTATTTGCTTCAACGACACTCACCTTCCAAAGTGCCACGAAAACCCCCCTGGCAGCGACCTGATCGCTTCTGCCCGAGAAACCGAGGCCCCGAACCCTTGTACTTGGCAAGGCCCCACACTGGCCTAGCGCTGGTGACGGTATGGGTTCCGCCATGACACCCCGAAGACGGCCGCTTGGCCGAGGCAAAGAAGACCATCACCCCCCAGGCTGCGTCACCAGCTGGTTCTCGACCGAACTCGGATGTCCGGGTCCGTCCCACTCGAGCTTGCAATGGGATGAACATGCCAAGATCGTTGGCAGCAAACGGTTCTGTCGCTGCGTTTCTCAGTTTTGCTACGTCTCACAACATCTCGGGCGCATCTCATTCTCACGGACTGCTTCCGAGAAATCGGGAGCATGAAAAGAGAACGAAGAGAACGGCAAGACTTCTCCATGTGACTTCTCCATGTGAGCAGCTTGCTCGTGGAAAAGCCGAACCAATGCACGTAGAATCAACGAAACAAATACGACGACGACGAAGCACGGTGATTTCACGAAGAACTCTCTCACCAAACCCTCCGACGATCGCGGGAACGGCGCCGTTCTCGTTCCCGGCGCCGGTTCCTCTTCTCTTCTCTTCTGCGAACGTCTCGTGGGATCCCGAGACGTGCACCTGTTTTCTAAGAAAACGTACAAGTTAAGTCCCTAAGTCCGGCGCAAGAGAGTTCTCTTCTGCAAGAGGTGCGGTGCGAAAAGGATTCGCAACGTCCAACTCCTGAACTGATTCGCCATGGATCTAAGCAATCCAAGCTTTAAAAAACACCTCTATCTATATGCGCTTGGCTCTATATTTGTGCTCGGCTGCCATGGTACATCGGCCGATGAGTCCATTTTTAGATCTCCCATCTCCCACATGTTTTGAGTGGGGTTTACCTCCCAAAAAGGTGTCGACTTCACACGTCCCTATTCCTCGACTGGTGACCCCGTGTCGAGAGCCCACACATCTGAACGTCGGGAGTCCACACACTGGCCTCGCCGCCCACATCTTGAAAAGCCTCAGGTGGGGAACCCGCGAGGCTTTTCATGAGGGAACCAGAACAGGTCAACGTTGTTAAATGGTCTTTGAAGACTAGGGCTCACACTCCCTGAAGTAATCATTATTGTAGTGGATGGCATGGCCCCGTAAGGATGACCATTTTCCCATGCAATACCAAACCGGTGGTTTTCACTGCAGGTCCGTGCGTGTGAGTGACTTTGAGTGTCATCGTGGAGCAACACAGGTGGGTGAATCTATCCGTTTCTTCGCTTGAAAAAAAAGAAACTGAACAGTGTGTTGGGTAGCACAGCGATGTTTGCTTTCCGGTACCACAGCGATTCACACTCCTCCGTCTCACGGAGTACCGTGTCAACTCGAAAAGGAGTGAGGAGTTCTTCTGCAAGGCAGTAGCCTCAGTAGCCAGAAAAACGGCTCCGGTGCCCATTTCTCGAAGAATCCTGGTGAACGCTGTTTTGTCCCGGGCCGGGCCTTACCATTCCAAGACCACCAAATACCTGTTTTTGCGTGACCGGCGTGGCCCACAACAGCTTTTTCACTCCTCGCAGCACAACGCAGCATGCTGGTCGGTTGGACGGACGTCCCACGGGTCGAGTCATTCGTCTTCTCAGCGAGTTTTCTGTGGAGTCTTCCGAAACCAACGGACGAATCATAGAGAGTGGTGTCGAAATGCCGGCGGTTTTGGCCAGACATACCGCGCTGTGGTTTTGACCATGGGGGCTATCTCCTCCAAAAAGAATCCACCAACCAACAGTTAACAGGTCATCTATGGTGTCGATTCGTAGTGTTGGTCGGGGAAAGGCTTCAAACGGGTCCCCTCTTACGCTGGGCGACTGTCCGTTCTCGGTCCGTTCTCGGTCCTTCCATCACTCCAGTTACTTTCAGTCCTTCGCGGGCCAGACCAGCTGTTTTTCAGATCCATGAAGACTCTTTTTGGGCCAGTCTTAATCCGAAAACCCGAACGTGTCACAAACCACTTCAAGTGACTTCCGGTGTGATGACATCTGCTCGCATTGCTCATGTCTGTTCGCTTCGTTCCGACCAGACCAACGACCCTGTGGGAGCACCAACGCATCCCTCCGCGCACGGCGTCATTCCGCCGCCCCCCGCCATCGCGCGAGCTCTCGGCGGCATTCGGCTTCGCGCCGCACGAAACAGGGGGCGGTTTTGGGCCAAAGCGCGCAGTCTTTCGCCTCGTTGGATTGGATGATGATAAGTGATTGGATGAGTGAAAAAAAAAGTGACCAAGTCTGATGTCATACGTTTCTCCCCTAACTTTGGAAGGTGATCCAAATGAAACTATCTGTGACTCATCTTCGACTGACAAACTGTTGCAATCAAAGAAAAATCATTCCTTTAAGTGATAAGACAGTGATTCCTGTTGACTCTGTCCTGAAATCATCAAGTTGCTATAAATTGCTCCATGATTCCGTCTGAGGAGCGCTTGGCATCTGTACTGCAAAGTACCTCTTCCCAAAGTCTGATCGGGTCCACTAAATCCCTGACCATCCATGGGGAATATTTACCTGCATTGACCCTCAAAACATCTTTGAAATCACCCCAAAGTTGGCAAATGTTCCAGTCCCATGGACTGTCCAATATTGTTTGCGTGCTATTCGGTTGGAGGCCATCGCTAGTATGTTGGAGGCCATGGCTATGAATAGAAACAACAAAAGAAAGGTTATATAGGGAATGATGTTTTCTTGAGGTCTTCACTTCTGACTTTGACTGTGCCGAAAAGATAAATGCATGCACAGACCTATAATCGATCTCTACGCGAGCGGCCATGCCAGGCATGTCCTTTTTGAAACGAGTTTTGAATGTGAAGGATTACAGCCAAGAAAACCCCGCCAACAAACAGGACAATCCCCTGTTTGTAGAGGAAAATGGTCTTTCCAGCAGTCATGCCATTGACTTCCATTGTTTCAGGGAGGGTTAGTCCTCGAAATGACCGTTTTTCGGAGGTGCTGGATGGGTGCTGAGCAACGCTTTGCATCACCCAAAGATCATTCATTCATGTTCTACGTCCTTGTTCGGACAACACCAAAACGGTAAAGGTTCATTCTGCAAACATGTCTGAAACATGCTGAAACCATCAGTTGGTAAAATTGTGGACCGGTTGTCGAAGATTTAAGCTGAGGCCTAGGCCTCGCATGGCCTCGCTACCTCATCGATCTTTTTCAATCACCCGTCGTCCTTCAAACCTGGCTAGTGTCCGTCACTCACGTCTTCTTGCATGAATTGTCCGCTGCTCGGCTGCTGAACGGCGCGCCGTAAACGGCTCTCAGTTGGAGATTCGTTTGTTCGACACCTGCCTAGTCATGTGGGTGCATCTTAAAAGGACTCTTGAAACACCCCCTGCCCCTCCCTACTCATCAAGAAAGTAGTCGCTGAGTCCCTTCATTGTGAACCCTATAATGTTTATTTTCAAGTCAAAAGCATGGAAGACGAGAAGTCTTAGTCCCACCACGTAATTGGCCGTCTTAAACTGTCAGACAGGGAAAAGGCAATACAGAAGCAGTTGAACCTCTGACCATGCATCCTTGCATTTCCTCTGAATATCTTCTTACACCCCTTTTCTTTCTCACAGATTCCTGACAGAATCACGTTTCAAACCTGGTCACGTTTCAAGACGCACCAGGAAAAAAGATGGAAAACCTCAACCTCTAACCTAGTATAGCGATGGCCTCCAATCGAATAGCACGCAAAAAGGAACCAGCTGCATCAAATCTGGAGAACATCTCCAACTGGGCCCGGTCTCCGGTTTGCTCGGCGCCATGGCCGCTAGCGGGCCACCCTGGCGGGTTGTCCGGTGTGTTCCGCGTCGTGACGACCGATCGGTCGTCGGATTCGCTGCTACCGTGCCGTCCCAAGCAATGTGGTGAAATAAAACCATTGTAAGGCACTTGTTTCTAATAGCTTCTTGTTACTACTAGTAAGGCACTTTTTAATACTATATAGTAAGGCACTTGTTACTAATAGCTATTTTACTAATGAATGATAGACTGGTGAGTACTTGTGAGGTTCATGCACCAATTGATGTCCGCAAAACCAGACAAATATCAGCTGCTGTCGGCTTAGACTGGACATGAGACGAGGCTCTTGACGACCCGACGACCGGATGACTCGTCGTTTTCGCCCCGAGCACCGATCGATGGATGCCTGTCGCGCAGAGATGAATGGACAGAGACGAGCACACGACCTGTGTCTTCTCGAGCCAAGGATCACAGCAGTGACCTCGATCACCCTGTGAAAACAGAGCCATGAAACATGTCCCCTATGGATCCACATACCGAACCTCAGGTACGGTGAGGACGGAGACACTGCTATTTGCCGGTGCGTGCCAGGAGGGTCCAATGACCTTCTCAGGTTCGGTGGCAGTGGATCCATAGGTCTTCCATCGGAATCGCATGATTTTTCACGTGGTGGAGAGACGAACACACGAGAGAAAGCACGAGAGTGGACCAGGGACCTTAACGCCCACCACGAGGGCCACCAGGACACCTCTTAGTGGTTAAACCTCTTGTGATTAAGGTCACCTGGTCGTGGTTAAGGTAACCTCAGGTTGTGGTTAAGGTAGCCAGTTTCGGTGGTGGAGCCTCAGAACGCATGGTTTCAGGGTGCGCTCCGCCCCTTCACCAAGCTCGCATGTATCTCCAGAGCTCTCCCGGTCACCCGAGGTTGCCATGAACCAACGACGCACGTAGGTCGCCATGCCCCCATTCCAACGGCTGACCCAGTTGGAGGCCATCGCTATTGGGTTGATCTTTGGAGACTCGCTAGGTCGCCATGCCCCAAACACGGAGACTCGCCGGGCTCCTGCCTTTACTGCTGCTTCTTTCGACCGGAGACTTTTCGTTTCGGCTTCGAAGTCCAGGAGCAGCAACACCTCACGAGGCGGCTTGCGGTCTTGGGGAGGCTATGTTACGCATTTGCTTGGTGGGAACACTTGACTGGGTTGGAATTAGAAGATATACACCCTGGTAGACCAACATGGACCTTGAAAACCACCGCTTGGTCAGAGGAAAACCATCGGACCCAAAGGTGCCAGGACGTCATGCAGGGTCTATGTGAGTTGACTGCCAGGTCTGTGAGTCTAATGTCCCAAAACCTGTAGGTTCGAACATCGGAGATCATCGGAGCCCCAGGTCCGGTTGACCTTCCAAGTCCCCCCCCCCCCGGGTGCCCCAGGTGCTCCCTGCGCGACTCGCCGGGTCGACGAAACGGTGGCGACCATGCGAGCACCGGGTGGAAACAACGCGACAAAACCAGTGTTACACCTAGCACGTTGAGGGGAGGGAACAGGCGAGAACACGTGCAGTCGAAGCCTGCAGTCGACCTGAGGTCGCGTGCGTCGACATTCACAGAACTGTCTTGATGAGGTAACGTAAGGTATGGTAAGGTAAGATCAACCCAGAAGAGAATCTATCCTGAGTTAGAGAAACCACGTAATTAAGTAGGTGGATCATCGGTCCTAGAAAGCATTTCATCGTTTCTTCCCTAGCTCCGATGATCCGCTGCGATGATCATTTCACAAATAGATGATCAATACCAAAAACAACATCGACCGATACATCTCGATGAATCTCACCAATCCCAAGTCGCCAAAGACAACAGCGGCAACCTCAGTCGAGGCCAACAGCTTCGGACAAACCCACCGAACGCGCGATCCTTCGCGCGATCCTTCGCGATGGTTTCGTTGCAGTTGCCTTCAGTCCGTGGGAGTTGGCCTTCCCCCACAATCGGAGTCCCTCCCGAGGTTGAAGAACCCGGAACTAGACTATCCTAGCTCGGTACCCCTGGTGACGGGTCCTAGTTCAGGTCACTTAACCCCTGTAGGTAGCCCAACCAGCGGCGAACGGACCAAATCATCTGCACGACCGGGAAAAACCAGCGAACGCCGACTCGACTGACGGTCTGAGACCTATCGCCGGACTGGCGCCGGCGCCATTCCTTTCACGGAATGAGCGCGACGCAAGTCCTGTATGGCGCCCACGAGCT